AGAGTAAAGATGACCAGGCATTAAAGACAAGATAGGAGAGCTGTTCTCCCCGTCACCTCAATCCTCCATAACAATTAGTTGCTGACAGTGACATAGGAGTCCAATAATAAGCTCTACCCAGGGGAAGGGACTCATTCCACAGCATATGGTGCCAACTTAATCTGCAGCCTCTGTCAGACGAGCCTGGCCAGGAGACAAGGTTTAAAAAGCATTAACATAAAAATAACAGACAAGTATACAGAAAACAATTTAGAAATTAAATTATCTTTATCCTTTTACAGTTGTGCGAAGTTCAAAGACGTTGCCAAGGAAACCAGACACTAAAAATGCCCTCTCTCCTGTTCTGATTTGATAGCCTGGCGCTTTTCTGGGTGAGATGGTGGCGATTCTGCTCCCTCGTTAGCCGAGGGCCACGACCTGTCGTCCATTAGAGGCTCGGAGTAATCCTAGTTCATAGGTGAGCCTCAGACACAGTAATCATCGGACTGACACCTGCTTCTATTGTCCCCCTCCGTCACATGACCCCCCCTCCCCCAGGGGCCAGCTCATGCTGGGTTTTGCGGTGGTAATGTGCGGTTCCCGGGGACGACTTCTCCTCCCACCAGACCTTCTCATAATCCTATTAGACCCAGTCATCTGCACTGCATTAAAAATACGGGCTGATTGATCCGACAACACGAACCCACTGTGTCCCGAGGCGGAAGTGGATACGACACAACTTCATGGCTGCACCAAATTTCACACACTCATAGAAATCAGTCTCCTAGATATGACAGATTTTTCCATCAAGATTCATTAATCATTCCCAGGGAAAATGGTGAAAACTTAAAAAAACACTAAATGCTAAAGAAAGAGATAAAAAAAATTACTGGATCAGCACGAAATTGAATGGATTCTTCCTCGGACTCGAACTACATCCTTCCCCCAAGTTCTGTGTTAATCCGTCAGGTGGTTATTGAGTAATCCTGCTTACTGACAAACATAAAAACTTGGTCCAAGTATAAAAAAAAATCACTTCTCAGATATTGAGAAAGAAAATAATAAATGTTGAGCGACTGTAACTGTCAAGCTTAAAGGTCTTGCCTGCAGAAAAAAAAAATAGTTTCATAGACTGAGGAAATAAAAGACAAGAGTTAAGCTCAGTCTCATGACTTCCTCTCACAAAAGGCACCAGAGAATCACTTCTGAGTATTTAGCAAGAAAAAAAGCTTGAAATATATCCACAGATTTAAGTTGATTTACCTCCTGATTATAAAATATCACTGTAAAATACAGTTTCATATTCTCTGTCTCACAGGTTTACAGACTCGTGTGTGAAGGAATGTTAAACTTACAACACTGAGCGCTCCGTTGGGAATTATGGTGACGTGCTGAGGATCTGCTGCAGTTACATATTCTACCACAAAGCAGCTCTTTGTTGAATTTAAAGCTGAAATACAGACTGTTTTCTCTTGAACACATCTTCTTTATATAAGTCTGTGTAGTAAAAATAGACTGTAGGCTATACATTGGTGAAAGTATGGTACTTTACTCTCAACAGGCCATAATGTTTTCTCTGTACATTGCAATCTATGAAGCAGCTGTTAGGATATTTCAGGACCGATCAAATGATAGTCGACTTGACCAAAACCGTACCAGAGATGAAACTAACACCACGCCAATAATATCCAACCTTATCCCTCCAGAGGTTAGTGATCACTAGTTCAGCTAGATGGATACCAACACCAAAGAAGTGAAACTCACAAGTCGATCAAAAGTCTGGTCATTTTTCAAAAAGCTGATTTCCATCTCTCCGAGGATCCAGAGAAAATATTGCTCAGCTCGGTGTATCAGCTCAATCAAACGCACCTAAAAGTCTCTAAAGCAACAACTGAGAAATCTCCTTACATAACTCATTTACTGAGGCTTTCTGCTGCAAAGGAACTACCGGGCCCTTGGGTCCCTCTTGGCACAGAGGGTGACCATCAGTGGGTGGAGGTGCAGATTGGAGTGGCATGGCTGCAGCTGAGGAATGTGAGGAATTCCCCCTGTAAACACCTCATGCTCGGACGGTCACCACGCTCTTATCTCACCGTGCCCATTGCCCCCCTTAATCACCGTAATGGTGGGTTATTCATTACCTCCTCGTCTTCCTCTATCTGCCTTTCCTGTGACCTCTGCTCCTCAGTCAGGGCAGGTGAGCTTCCTGCCTCCCCCACAAACTCCAGACCTTTGTTTACCTGAGGCACCACATGGTTTTATTCCCTCTGATACCCCCAGAGGGCAAACAACCCGCTCTGATACCACTGTATACAGTAGAATGGCTTTCAAATGTCAGGACCTTGAAAGAAAGAGCTTTTTCTATTTTTTTGAAGCCAAGCAGTTGTGCAGAACCAGCCCAGGCTCTGGTCTTGTGGGAACACTCTTTAGCCGATAGGATCATAAGTGGCTAAGGAGGGGGAATGTTTTATTTTTCTTACTGGTTGAATGAGGCGGCTTTCGCTTGCTTTTCAGCGAGGCACCTCCCCCTGTGGTTCCTGTGTGTGAGCCCCTCTCTCAGCTTAAATGAAAGTAATTTCGAAAGCAGCTGAGCGCCTTTGTTAATGCTTCTTGGCATTTAGAAAACGCAGGAAAGAGAAACACAGACACAAGCTGGATTTTGCCGAGGTGAAATCCTGTTTTGGCCACTTGCTGTTTGGTCAGGCTGGAGGAAGGTGCGAAGTCCATCCTGAGCACATGGTGCAGCATGAGGGGCCCGTGGGGGCTGCATTCCTCCTCATGTACCACTCTCCGGCAGTCATGACGGATGCTTATGTACAAGCATGAAACCTGCTCACAATGACACTGCCACATTCCCCCGAAACTTTCCCATCAGCTCAGACTTTCTGTTGCAGGAGATCAAAACCAGATTTTTCCTTTTCCTGGAACGTCCCTGATAAGTTTGTTTAAGGGCGGTCTGTCGCTCTGGATGGGAAAGCTGATATTTTCCGAGTGTTTTTCATTGTTAACATAGACTTTTCCTGACGCTGGTGATAAAAGAGCAGCTGCAGAGATTGTTCTGCTGCCGTCCTCTGAAAATTCTTCCTAATGTTGACAGTGGATATCTCACCACATTGAAAGATGTTGAAATGACTGGCGGACATTTTACCCTCCGGGTATTGTTATTAGTTTTACCTTTATGAGGTGGTGTGAGTAGCAGATTCCTTCAAATAACTTGTTCTGTCCAATCAATACATCCTGACAACTGAGGACCAGAACACAGAACTCATGCCAGCTGAATAGAAATCAACATTTCAACAGGTATTAGATGGATCACCATGAAGTCACCGTAACTGGTTCCAAGATGAACCCAACAGACTTTGATAATCCCTCGACTTCCTTCCAGCACCAGTTTGATTCATTTCATTCATTTTCAGACAACACATCCGTCACAGTGAAATGCCAAAGCAACTTTTGGAATCGATTGCGATGACATTTCGTTCAGACGCTCGTTGTGTCCAGAGGATGAATCCTACAAACTATGATGATCCTCTAGACTTCATGTCTGGTGCAACCTTCGGATTGACATTTGTGTCTTTTGTTAAACGTCTCATCACCTGCTGGATGCATTGTCGTGAGGTTTTGTAAACATCAGTGTTCTTCTTTTGGATGAACTTTAATAACATTGATGATTCTTTGACTTTCCCCTCAAGGCCGTCAAAACATCTGACCTCAAACAATATCAATGGATCAAACTCAGTCCAGTGAAAAACACCAGAGTTTGGAATTTCTGATGCCAACAAGCGAAACTCTTTCAATTGCGTGCACCCAGAAGAAGAGGAAGAAGAAGAAGCATCTACAGCACAAATCATAATTATGCACCAAAGTTACATTAACGACAGAGCTGTTGGCGTCGCATGATATTTCTCTGGTGATATACGACTGCTCCCTGAGCTTCGTGCACAGAGCGTACATGTCCTCATTAGGGTTAAGTGCTGCGCTCATATGTCCCCTAATACCTATTCATGGTATCACAGCATGTCAGCTCGCCCTGAGGAAGCTGTCAGCCACATATGTCAATACCCCCACTGACCCTGCTCCATCCCCCCCCCCCAACCACTGCACACATGGCACTGGAGGATTGTCCCCCCAGAACAAAGGAGCGGGGGGTTTCTGTGGAGAACACACAGCCAAACATTCCTGTCTCAATGGGGAGAGTGGCCGACAGGTTCAATTAGAAAACACTTTAAACTCTGCTTCTATATGATCCCAGTGTTCCTGAAAACAAAGCTGCAGCTCCCACATTCAAATGGGGTATTTGGTGACGCCGGCTTGTTCGTGGTGGTCTTTAGCTTCTCCTATTATCTGCTTTGTTGCTGCCATGTTGCCCCAGACATAAAACCACTTGAAGGCCACTCAGGGTCGAGATACTCAGGTTGGAAGATTTATGTTTTCCCCTCTCCTGGAAAACTTTATTTTCTCAAGTTAAAACAGCCGACCACTGCTGTAAATAAACTGAGACGAGAGCAAGCAACTGCAAGGAGTCTTTACCATTAATCTTCTCAAGACTAAAGTGTCACCCAAAGTCTAAACACAACATTTTCCTGATTACCTATGACCCTCCACATTTTGGGGATTTGTGGAGACACAATGTTGAATCCCACACAAAATAGAATCAAATATATCTTTCCAATGAAAATGTTGCTTTCAAGGAATCTTCCCCTGCAGCAGCTCAACATCTGCTCTGTCTCTGTCAGTATCTAGATCATGAAGTGCATTGATCCCGTTTGGATTTGATGGATTCAGATGTGTTGCGGTGTTTGGTTGGATGCAGCACCAACAGTGATTTGATGCTTTTCTCTGTGACTGTCACCGATGCTCGTGAAACCTGGAAAGCTGTCAGCCAGCAGGACTTCCAACAAATCCGACGCTGATCATGATCAGTACGCAGAGGTGAAGTGAGAGCAGCCAATAAAACACAGCAGAGGCACAAAGTGGAGCTGAGCTGTCAGATGTGGAGAAATATACACGGATGCACTCACCTATTACACAAGGTGCGTCGTAACGTCGGGTACTTGGCGTATCCGAGGGAAATGTCCACTTCACACCACCCAGGCGCACATGTTGCCGGTCACCGCGGAGAAATGAGCCAGTGGAGACCGGGGCAGAGGAGCTGCAGGAGCTGCAGGAGCGGGCTGTGACTGTGGGTCCCCCCCGGGCCCCTGGGAGGCGACACGGTGAGTCCAGGCGTTGGATGAGATGCGCAGGGCGCCACCCTTCGCTGGACCTCCGGGGACGCACCTCTCCTCTTTCTCGGCCGTAAATCACGGGACGTGCGGAGCCTCTCTCTCCGCCTTCACGGCTGCGTGATCCGCGGCCGCCGGTGCCGCTGGAAGTGAGATCCGCGGTGCGCAATTACGAGGCGCGCAGGACGTCGGTGCCACCCACGACAGGAGGGTTTGTGTGGTGAGTGTACGGACAGGGAATTTTAATGAGGGCTGCTGCAGAGTTTCCTCCCAGAGCGGAGACTCATGCTCTCTCTCTCTCTCTGTGAGTGTGTGTGTGTGTGTGTGTGTGTGAAAGTTACCTCACAGTGGAGGAAGAGCTGCGGGATGAGGAGCGATGGAGGCGCCAGGAGACTCCGGGTCACCTGCCAGTGAGAGGAGAGGGGGAGCAGCTCACCTCCAGGAGACACCTGTTGAATGAAAACAGTTCAGACATCCTGACCTGAGAGGACAAACTCGCACCAAGTACAATGAAAGGTTGAAATATGTCTCTTATCATTGTGCAGCTTACAAATGGTTTTCATTACAGCAGCAGGGAGAAGAGAATGTTCGGCAGAGACACTAAACATCACTATGAAACGGTTGGATGGTTCATAAATCATGTTTTAAATCATTAACTTCTCACTAAATACTTCTTGCATCAACTGAAATGCATACCTCCTGCATATAACACTATTTCCCCATTCAGCTGATGCATGTAATATAAAGACTACTGAGTGGTTTGTAAAAATAAACCCAGTTTATCATCCTCTAATTCTGTCACCTCTCAAACAGCAGCTCAACACACGAGTCTGTCAGCTGGTCCTGTGGTTAAACCACTTATCCGTCCATATGGGAGGAAACTAGGGGCCTCTGACCTCGGCAGACACCTTAGAATGAAGCAGCATCACAGCCCTGAATCAACAGCAGGTAAACTAAATCTGGTGTTGACTGTTCGTGGGAGATGAACGGCAGATCATAATCACTGGGTGGGGAAAAGCATGTTTGTTTTAACCCTGTTTTAGAATTTAAATGGATTTCATGAGTTTTTTCAGCCACGATGACGTCTTTGTGTTACTAGATGAACCAGACAGCATCACCAGAAACACAACAGCTCCTGTTCTAGAGATATTACTGAGGCTGTTTGCGATTTGAAAACAACCAAAATAATAACACAAAGACAAACACGGACGGAAATCAGACATAAGGATTAATACAGCGTCATCCTTTATATTCAGTCAGTCTGAATCAGACTGTGATGATCCACTGTCCCCTACAGGTTAGAAAACACCATTGCACTCAATTACAAAACGTGACTCAACATTTTCTGCAGACCGTCACTGAGTCACTCATCACAGCTGCAGTCTCACGGTGCAGCTGCAGTGCTGGTATATGGAAATGTCAGAATGGAAGAAAAATAAACAGTGCTAAATGTATTTTATTTATATACAGGACATTTTGTAACAAGTCTAATTTTACAGTCATTTTCACATTAGTGTAACAAATATAACAGTTTCAGTTCAGACGGCTCTTTTTCAGCCTGGATGTGTCGGAAGCTGCTTTACGTTTACGTGACGGAGTGTCTGGAGTTTCCTCTGGACGAGCTTCGGTCAGGTAGTACGGCTCAATAGGTGGAGTGGGCTCCTGGAGGAAAGGATGAAAAAAAGGGCTGTGTCAGCACAGTAATGTGCAATTTCAAGCAGTATTGACACTGACCCAAGCATACGGAGGAAAAGACTTTAAGATAAAGTTGTGTTATATTCTGGGAAGGTCAAAGTTTCTCATACGCAGGGAATAAAAAACAGAATACATAAATAAAACATCTGTTACCGTCCATCGTCGCCATGTTTTGTATCCTTGTTCAACTATAACATGCAGCCGTGGTTATATTGAAGAGACTACTTGTTAGGTTTATGTAATCATTACAAAGAGACCTGCAGAAGTCAAGTGATAACGTATAGAAAGAGCTCCGTTAACCTGCATGAGGTAGTCTGCGATGTACTCCGGCTTCAAGCATGTGACACCATCTGTGGTGGCCTCTGATACGTCAACTCTGAAGTCTCCAGGCTTCAGTCGACTGAAGTCAGCGAACAGGTGAGTGGCCTCTTTGTACAAGGATGGAGAGGGACTGGGCAAGACCTGGACAGGAAGTACAGATAAGAAATGGAACTTCAACATTTTATCTCCCAACATGAACTTTTTTCAACTTGCAGCTTCTTTGAAGGACAGATTTTCTACTGAGCCTCAGTTCAACACAACATTTTAAGATCTTTCCCTTTTGATTTGGTAACTACACGAGAGGGTGAAGGACACGTGACTTCAGATTTAGGACAACAAATAAAACAAACACCGACCTTTGCTCCACCACTCTGCAGTAACCGCCTGAAGCCTGATTCTCTGTTCTGGTCGATGTTCAGCATGACTGTCCATCCACTGAAGGCACCCTGCAAAATACAAATGTTTCAACCCAATTGATTTCAACTGAGAAAAAGTCCTGTAGTGTTAATATTGTATAAGTGTATATGTACCCCTTGTTCAGAGCGTCCCTGCAGAGCTTTCCTCCAGCGCATGGCAGCCAATGCCAGTCTTCTCTGCTGGGAGTTGATGGAGGGTAACGCATCCAGGATGGAGCTGCTGCCCCACTCATAGTCATCCTCCTGGAACAAAAACACACGAGTGGAAAATCTGATTTAGAATACTTTTCATCAATTATCTTACAATATTTGAGTACAAATCTGTGCAACAAGAAATGTTAAACTGAGAAATCTAAAAAGATTTTTATCATAATAAAACTTGAGATTTCAGTAAACTGATGCAGATTATGGTCAAGTTTCAAAGACTAAAGCTGCAACTCTCAGACAACTACAAACAACTTCAGGCCTTTTTTGAAAAACATACAGAAATTAATCTCTTAAAAAGTCCATCTGGAAATATACACAATGCAATTGCAGAACCAGTAAAGGATCTTTAATTCTATATGAGCTGTTTCATTAACTTAAATTCGGTGTCGTCTGCACTAAAACATTGGGGTGCGATCTTTAAATTCTGACCTGGATGAAGCAACCCACAGATCGGCAGGCCTCCAGGTACGAGCGGTGCAGGATCCATTTTCCAGCTGCCATTGCTGCCAGGTACTTCTCATTGCGCAGAGGAGTCCCGACGATGATGTGAGAGCAGCTGGGGTCAAATGACTGCTTGTCCAGGATGATGCCGCCTAAAAATATAAAGAGACAGAAACTGATGGTCCGACTATACAGATGGTATACTGCACACTGTTACATGTCCATGTCAGCAATGTACTTAATAAAGACATTCATCTCCACTTTATTATCTGTTCCTTTTTGTTCTTGATGTTTCTAAATTGTTTTCTCTGTAAGATTCAACTTGTCGTGACAAGTGAAAACCTGACTCATTTGATAAAGCTGTGCTTTTGGTGGAGGAAGACTGATTTTCTTCTTCAGTCATCAGGGATTAACTCCTCTGACTTCAGGCCTGACCCGAACTCTGTTCGAACCCTAATTAGGCAGAACTCTTACCCAGCTCCTCTATGAGGTGACTGTAATCAATGCGTTCCTGAGGGGTGAGAGAGGAAAGCTGGAATCTGGGTGGCTGCTTATCTTCCTCTGGCTCCTCCTGAGAGAAAAAAAGATATTTTTAGCTGCACTGGCCTCAACTGTAAGAGACGCTTTGAGGTGCAGAGTAAAAAAAGTAAACTCTAAAAATCATATCCATTGTAGTTTGAACCAAGTTACACTGATGATGAAAGTTAATATTTACACATCAACTTCTTTACGTAAAGATGAATCTGTACCTGTGGCTCTGGTGCTACTGGGGGGTTGGCGAGGGGGAAGGCGATGCTGGGGGCTTTAGGGGTGAGGATGTCATCCTCAGGCTCTTTTGATGGAGGGGTGGTGAACTTCTGGCCCATGTGCTGTTCAATGACATCACAAGCAGCTGCAGGAGGACAGAGCGATTACAGTGAAAGTCAAGTTACAACTGAAGTCACGCGTCTCCATCGGTTACATTAATGGTGAAATTAGTCTTTTTAGTTCGGCTTCCTGATCTCTTACCCATCTCCACCAGCTCAGAGTCGGTCATGGAATCCCTGAACTGGGGGCCGTTTTCTGCAGTGGGGGGAGGTGGAGGTGCGAGGGTCTCAGAATGCTGCGAGGGGCTACCAGGCCACTGTAAGTTGTCAGCCAGCTTAGCCCGCTCCTCCCTGGCTGTAGGGTCATCCCAAACTATCTGCTCGCTCTGAGACGGCTCTGTGTTAATGTCCATGGCTGCTTCTCTGGAAACTCTGGAATTAGGACACATCAGTCGCTATTACACAAGGAATAAGGACTTAACATGCATGGTAGGTGGATGTTTGTTTCACCACTTTGACTGAAATTCACTACATGACCTCCTTACCTCAGGGCTTCCAGAGTACGCCTACTCCCACTACGTCCCACTCGGCTCCCATCGGGTGTGTGGGGCCTGGAATCTGCACCCCCTGACCCCTTCCTGGTTAGTCTGACTGAGGTTCGCCTCCCTGTCGTCAACTTGGTGGCTGACATGATCTCCTGGAGCTGCCTGTGCAGGTTCTCTCTCATCTCCAAAGTCTCTGAAATATCTGGAAAAGGGGAATTAATCAAATATATAACTATCTTTATTTAAAAAAATATTGCATTTATCATGAAGCAGCAAAAGCTTGGGAAAAAACACCCACCGCTCCTTTCTGCTGTATCATTCATCTCATCTTGATTTACACTTCCATCACTAACACGACGTAGATTTGTAGCTTCTTCTGTGGCATCGTGCTCAGACTGAGGGATAGATAATTTAAAAACATAATTAACAGGGTCATATAACTAAGATAAAATATTCCTATGAGAAACAAATCGACACAGACTATATAATGACACTCACTTTGTTTTCACTAGTTTCACTAGTTTCAGAGATGTTTCTGAGCTGTGTTCGTGTTATAGGTGGAGACTTCTGGGAGCAGTTGGGCACCTGGCTCAGGTTGAGGCTCATCTTGGGGTTGTAGGTGAAAGGATACAGAGACTCTGCGACGTGCCTTCCCTCATCAGCACACTGTACCAACGGCACAAGTTGATTGTTGTCAGGAACACACAAAACGCTCTTTTCCTTTGTGATTTATGAATTGGACCCTATTTGAAATAAATAGCTATAACGAATGGATGAACATATTTTTATTTGATCACAAATTTTCCTGAATTCTAAAATATGATTTGTGATGATCTGCAATCAGAATATAGGATACATTATGGATAACGTGTGTATACTTGATAGTAGGACACGTACAGCCTGCAGCCAGGACTGGGAGACCACATGCAGTCCTCTCTCCTTCACTCCTCTGTATTCGCGGGTGTTGTCTCCCACACGACCTTGGTAGATGTAATGTGTCACTGTATCGTCACACGCCCACCTAAAAAGAAGGTAATGTAAAGATGTTGTGTTCCGTGTGTGCACTGTGTTTGTTAATCCATATTCATCAAGATAAGAACTGAGCATTTGTTGAATACCTGAAGTCAGCTCCAAGCGAGGCGGCGATGGCGTTTAGTTCACTTTGCATTTTGCTGAGTTTCTTTCCCACACAGATCACAACACCAGTCAGGGGAGGAGCTTCCTTTTCTGGAGGCTTTAAAAACAAAATTGGTGCAAAAATGAATATGAATCACACAAAGAATATTGTTTGTGTATTATGTGCTAGTGAGCGTGTATGTAAGGGCTTTCTGACTATTTTACCTCCTTCTCAGTTGTCTTTGTGAGCTGTGGACTAGCTGAGACTGCCTGCATGTCTGAGACCTGACTGCGAGAGCTATTAGCCAATGCCACCTTCAAGTTCCTGTTGATGACATCAGTCAGAGGAGTATCCACCTTTTCTCCTGGCTTCGATCTCCCACCTGGCGTCTCCAAAACTCCTAGTGCATCCTATACATAAATGAAACAGTTCATGAATTAGCTTTTGAATTTTACGGCTGTAAGTCTATATAAACATCATGTTTCTTGAATTCTGTTTCCTCCAGTCAGTCCCAACCTTGACATTAAAAGAGGGCCTGAAGAGCTGGTCTCTGCTGAGGAAACGAGACGGAGTGTCCAGTTGCAGGGACGGCTCCTTTTGAAGGGGGTTCCTTCTGCCGCCCTCCTGGATTTGTTTTGGGGTGCTCATGTTGTCACTGGGCTTCATCTTGTCCAAAACAGAGTGGAACACTTTGCTCTGGAAGCGACCTACATCAAGCGGGGTAACGGCCTTACCGCTCTGGAAACCAAGCAAAGGGATCTCTGGAGACGAACGAGCTGGAGGCGGCATACTTGGTTTCTGAGAACCACCAACAAAACTCTCATCATCCCTCTCTGTGGAATAACAAAATAGAAAATAGAGATCAATGAAAGCTGAGCCTGTGATCAGACGCAAAATAAAATCCTTCTGTCTATACACTAAAAAAACATAAATGAACATATAGTTGGTAAACATGAGCTTATATGTTAGTTTCTTTAGTAAGTTTACTCAAAATATCTTATTTCGATATTCAAAGAAGCTCTTAGATAAATGCTATTGTGAAATAAGCTGACAATAACAAAATATGTACATTTTAAAAACTTTTAAAAATATTAAAATCAGTATATCCAGTCCATGCTACTAAAACAAACACGATGCTATTTTCAGAACAGCACAGACAAACTCATTTTCACCTGGTGACGGGGGCAGGTCCACTTGAAATCTCTCCTCCTCTGCTCTCCTGCCGCTCCGAGCAGACTCTAATATCCAGTGCAAGGTGACGGCAGGAAGCCCCCATTTCTTTGCTGCCTGGTACTTTGTGCCTTCAGGGCTCTGCAACACCAGATGAGTGCTGGCCAGCATGCCTTTCTTCTGGTTGGCCAGACGAACAAAGTAATCCTGCACACTGCAGGTGGGAGAGAGGAAAAGATGTAGATTTAGCATAAGCTGTTCACAATGAGAGGATAAGCCACATGTGGGTAAGTAGTATGCAGCAGAGAATTCATTTATAAAAGAACAATGTTTAAATGAGGTAAATTTAAAGTAGAATAGTTTTTGTGAGATTTCATTTCGGCTTAGTCATACTTGGCTCCGAGATGCTTTGCCAGCTCCACCAAAGACTCTCTCTCTGCTCCAATGAACTGGCTGACGGAGAGAACACAATCCTTGAGAGGAAAACGTCCATCCATCACAGGAACAGGGGTGAACAGAGGGTTGGAGGAAAGTGGCAGGACAAACTCTTTCTCCACACACATGGCCTGAAAATGAACACAGCAACATTTAATTGTTAGTTCGACGACTTCACTTGTTGAAGAAATCAAAACAATGCATTAAAAACATGTACATGCACGTGTGCTGTGTTCAACAATAACTCATATAAAAACACAATTGTGCTTGCATAAGAGGAACTGTCTGGCGTACGTGCAGATGGACGATTTGAAACTAGACAGACTCCTTTTACTTTTTTACCCTTAACTATCAAATGCCCTGACTGTTGCAATGCACTTGGCAGATGTAACCTCAGAGTTCCTGTCCTCTCTTGATGATGATCCTCTTGTTGACCCTGATCTGTGCAGTAGCAAACTCCTTTCATGCAGAAGCAAGAGCAGACAGCTTCCTGTGTTAACCAGACTACAGGTGGCTTCAGTTTTTTTAAGCTATTACTCAGGAACAGTTGTCTCTTAAGTTTCCTGTTTACCTGACTGTACAAAAATCTTCTTCTTTCCCTATTCGGTGTTGTTCCACTTTGAGCATTTATGCTGACTGTGCAACCCTCTGCAGAGCTTTCTATTAAATGAACTAAAGACAACTCCGGTCTGAGAAACTCAAGATAAATTTCCATCACAGTGTGATCTTACCAGCCAGGTATCAGTGACCACCTCGTCCACTGTGGCCTCCACTGAACAGCCCAACAGTGGCACCACAGCATAGTCAGCCACAACCCGTGTGCGACCCATCAGCACCCTGCCTCCATGTTCTGTCACCAGCAGAGAGAGCTGGGTTTCGGCCTCCGTGCCAAAGCCCACTAGTAGGAAACATTTCCCAACAAACAGTCCGGCCTCACTGGCCTCCTGCAGGGTCGAGTCTGGCTCTTGTCCTCTGGTCTGGTTTGGTGCCCACGGTTCAGGCTGAGGCTCTGCCGTTGTACTCATGAACTTCCTCCGCTCTGTTTCTGGCGGGGGCATGTCAACTGGAGGATAAAAGTGCAACAAGATATAACCAGCAGGCTTCAGATGTCTTGAACATTAACTTAATGATGTGTAATTACACCACACACAGAAACACCCTCTACATACCTACTGTTGGGTCATCATCCATATACTGTGATAACAGATCCTCCTCTGCTCGCATTGGAGTGCGAGGGCTGGCTGCAGGGGGACCGACTGATGGCCTGGAGGTGAGAGTGTTACGGCGCGACACAGTTACAGAAGCTGCAGCAGGGGGAAGACAGTCAGGGTGGAGGTAATCTGATTCTGGGAGTAAACTGCCTTTGGTGAAACTGTCCAGCAGCCACGGTACTTTTACTACATGCGGCCTGGGAAGTAAAACAGAAAAAATATTAGTATCATATAAATTTTTTAAAAGTTAAATGGATTTAGTATTTTTGATCATTCTGCAGGTTGAAAAGTTACAACAGGCCATATCCTAAACTGGAGCCAGTAAATATTATGAAGAGTAGTAATCCCTGTCGTTCAAACCTATGAGTCACTTTGGAGATGAAGTTTTTTACGTCCTGGTCCAGTTCTCCCATGACCACATGAGTGAGTTCTTCACTGGGTTGGTTGAAGCGTAGACCACCCGCAGCGTTCACGAGACGCCGCAGCTTCTCCAGCTTCTTCCCCGGCAGGCCACACAGATACAGCTGTTCAACAGTGGACATGTGGAATAAGCCTCAGTTCTGCCTTTCACATTATCAGTGAAGAAAGAACCACATTAGAATAGTGGAGAAGGAATTTTCCCCTCTTTATGAAAAAGAATATTTTACTTACTTTACAGCCATCCAGTATATCATCAGCTGGACAGACGGTAAAGTCCAAGTTATCTATCGGGTCTGGAGCCTCCAGATGGCTGATGGTGCAATTGGTCAGAGCCGTGTCATTTATCGTCACGCTGGCATTGACAGAGATGTGGCTCAAGCCCAACAGAGATGGACCCTCTAGTGTTAGAAAAAACATCATTATATTTAATAGGTCTAATGCTGCAAATTAGAAATGGTAACATAACATTATTAAATGTAGTAAAAAGCAATCTTGCAATTGTGGCTAACCTTCCTTCTTGCTGGAGCCTGTAGGGGTAGAAGTGTGCGGTCGAGTTGCCTTTGAAGTGTTGCGCTCCACGGTGTACCTGCTCTCGTCTTGACAAAAGCCCTTCTCTATGCTGTCAAACAGCCAGTGCAGGGACACGCAATACACGTTCCACTTCCGAGCACACTCGTACTTCTGACCTATAATGGGTCAGAATGGTACCAAGTTCAAGAACACAGCGAGAAAGTTTTATTCAGTTTGAATTCTTAAACTGCAGGTGACTGACCTGTTGCTTCGCTGACGATGAGGTGTGTACACTCATTCATTTTGAGCTGACCCGTATAGCTGCCTCCATGCTGCTCACAGAGCCGCTGCACCTCTTTACGCTCGGTGCTAGAGAGGCCAGTCACACACACAGTACAGCCACGCAGCACTGGGCACAGATACTCCTCAATGGGTAGTTCTGTATACCTGAAAAGACTGAGGGAGACAGAAAGATTTGCATATTTCTATGTACATGTAACCGGCTATGATGCAACCAGGTTAACGAATCGTGTCATGCAGATATCAGAAAGGCGAAGTGCGTGTACCTGTCTTGAGATTTCTCCCAGCAGGCTTTGACCCACGTGGGCAGCAGGATGGGTTTACCAAGGCTGGCAGCTACCAGGTATTTCTTGCTGCCCACCTCTCCGGCTATCAGGTGAGTGACAGACACATTTAGGTCAAGATAGACTCGTCCACCCATGAGCTGCACCAGATCCATCACCTCGGACTGTAGAGAGAGACAGACATTCAAAGACTGAAATAAATCACAACTTTATCCTCTATGATATAAGATTTCCAACTAGCTCTAATACTACTATGCGTTAATGGAGTACTAAAATCTTCTCAACGTGCATTAGAAAGCTGTTGTAGGTGAGAGACACCAAAAATAATCTCACATCATAACTACAGAGTTTACAAGAAAGTTTCACGAAGAAGTAAAGGAGACATTTCTGCAACTTTAACTGTATCTGTACAACAAAATAAAAAAATAAAAAGCCATAACAAACAAATCCCAGACACTTAACATCAACAGTTAAAAACTATTAGTGCTTGATGGTTTTTGTCCATCACTGATTATTGATTCATATTTTACTTCTTTATCTTTCAAACCCTCACTAACGTGTTTGACATATTTTCAAGTGCTGATTTCAAAAGAGCAACCATTTATAATCAGATGCAGTGAACTGACCCGTGTTGCTTTGTCCAGGCTGGTGCAGGAAACAGTGACGTCAGCCATGGCCATGTTGTAGACGGGCTTCTCTGCTTTGGGGACACAACGTTGCTGCTGCAGGCAGAACAACACCACCAGCGGACTAACGACCCGGCAGCCGAGCTACAAGACAAATAACAGAAAGGGGAAAAGAAATATCTCCATTATGGCGTCTCATCTATTCCTGTGACATTCTGGATTTATTTGTCGTGTGTGGTTGAGACCTTCTCGCAGTGCAGAAAGGCCGGAGAGGTGAAGGAGCTGAACACAAACAGAGACTTGTCCTTCTGGTCCATCTGCATAACTGCATCCTCCTCGACGGTTTTCAGGTACTTGTCAGACTGCAGCTCCAAAATGGCCTGAACACAAAACAATATTATTATTATTATTATATCGTTAACTCCAGAGACAGGAGAGCAATGACAAGACGGAGCAGGAGAGTTTACCTCATAAGCTTTGACGGCATACTCTGTTTTTCGACCTTTGCTTTCCACAAACTTCACAATGAAGCCTCCTTTGTCTCCTTTGGACATGATCGACCTTAACGTGTGTTATGATAGCATAGCATTAGCAGGGTTAGCAGCTGCACTGACAACAATGGTCGTTGATGAATCTATGACTCTTGGTAAAGCAGATGTGAAACAGTCTGTAGACCGGGACAGAGTTAAACACACAATCTCACCTGTTTTACGAGTTATCTTTATATATTAGCGCAGCCGGTTGGTACTCGCCTCCTCTTACCGTCGAATAAATACAACTATCTGCCAGTGGACAGTCTGAACTGAGTGTTAGCTCAACGTCGCGATGTGTTGTCGATGGACTCTGATCGAAATAAAACTGTGAAAGTGACGCTGCTGTCAGACTCACGGGGAAGGAGAGGACACATTCAAATGAGCCACAAAGTTAAAACAATCTTTCAGAAACAATAGTAATCGCCGTGCGGTGAGCGAGCAGCGACCCGTGTTCACATGTTTCACTGGATTAATGACAAACCGATCGAATGAGTTAAAGAGCGAACATTGAAAATCTTCTCCTTGTTGATGTTATTCCTATTCGCGCCTTTTGCGTAATTTCCGGTTTTCACTCCTAACCTGACCGGAAGGAGTCGGACTCCAGCGGTGAAAGGTTCCGCAGTCAACTAAACACGAAGAATCGTCAGTAACTAAAACAAGACTTTTATAATGTTGTGTCGTGTTTAAAGAAATAATAATGCACAGAGTGTTAATGTCCTACGTCTTGCTCGATCAATACAAAACTACACAGATATTCATATGTATCTATAGCCACCAAACAAGCTGTAGCTTAAAAAACTCTATTTATATCCATGTAAACAACATTATGTAAATTCAATAGATTATAAAATCTGTTTCCATCCAGACATGTTGTTTTTACATCAGTTCACTTAAACGACCTTTTTGTTTTGAGAATAATTCTGCAAAATGGACGATGCTTGTTTTTTAAATATATATCTGAGAAGAAGTGATTGGTAAAATCATTTTAAACATCTCCATGTTAAAATGATGTTGTCAGACCAGTTCTTCTTGCTTAAAGCTTTCAGGATACATACGTATTTAAACCATCTTTCAAATGTTTATCCTCCAAATAAAAAGATATCTACAGGATCCTGCACGTAACATTTAATAGTTTTATTAGTTAAACCCCTTGAAAACAAAAAGCCTCTCACTTTTAATTCAGTCTGTATTTTATAATCAAGCTGGAAGGGTTCAGCCAGGACAGTGGGTCATGACTCCCACTTATGTCCAGTCACCAAAAATTACATCTCTGAAAGTATTTATTTGTTGAGTTATGTATTCCACTAGTTTGTCGTTTTTATTTCTCCAACATAAAAATAAAAAGTCGAGTTCACACGGTCAAGGAACCAATAAAAAACTTGATTTAATGCTTTGTTTGAGTTTTTGTCATTGGTCAGATGTTAATACTGTTTATTGTGACAATGCTAAAAATCTACATCAGTTTTATGTCCGTCAAGTGTAAAGTAATTTAATTCCTAGAAAATCCTTGTGTTCAGTGATATGTGGGGCTGTTAAGTTCGAAGCTGTTTTAACTGGTATGTACAAAGCAGATGATCATTGTGATAATTTGGTAACATCACAAACACAACGTAAAAATAATGTTGAAATCTTACCTCCACAAGACAAATGTAAATACAAAAGAACAACACTGTGGGTTCCCTTTTATTCTTAAAATTTTTATGTACAAGTGCGACCGATTTATTTTTTTTCAATGTACATTCAATATAGAAAGTTTATATACGTAATATTACATTACACATTTCACAAATTGCACTAGTCTTTCACATAGATTCAGAATCAGAGTCAACATCATTCGTCACGTGGTAGCA